GGGAGGGAGGGAGGGAGGGAGGGAAGACAGGCAGAAGAGAGAAAGGAGGAAGAATGGGAGGAAGAGGGAGGGATAAAAGGGAAAAATGTGGGAGGGAAGCAAGGGAAAATGGACTAGGGGGTTTGAGCTGGCACTGGACAACAGCTCTGGGAACTTGTGTTAGCATTATTTGCTGTACAGAGGTACAAAGGTGGGCAGCTCAGAAGAGAGATGTTCTCTGCTTGGAGGGCTGAAGAGGCTGTGAGCTTAAGGCTCAGCGTCTCCTGCCTGCTAGAGACCTGCATGGGCAGTGGGACTGCCTAGGCTGGACAGACAGACCAGAGGGGCACTGAAAAGAAGAGAGTGACAGGTAGGTGACTGGCTGGATTGGAGAAGGAAAGAACATGGAGACAGGAAGGGAGCAGGAAACTATGTTTCTTGGACTGGAGGACCAGGCAAATGGTATGTCATTAACCGGAGAAAGGCTGTGGAGAATGAGGCCTTCTTTGACATGCTTGCACTTCAAATGGGCTGAACAGCCAAAGAAAGACATCTTGGAACAAAGATCTGGCATCCATTTAGGACGACAAGTGGAGTTGGAAGCTTTAAGTAGGAGTTTCTGAAGGATAACAAGTAGACACCGTCGCTGATGCCAGCACTAATCGATCCTTACTCTCTACCTGGAGCACAGGATGGATCACTGCACCCAGCTCAGGGAGAGAGTGCTGTTTGATCAGTAATACCTGCCATGGACGTGGGAGAGTACAGAGGTATGCATCACATACTTGTCTTTGTAAGTTAAGAGTGTGTGTTTTTCTGTATTTTAAGGAAAGGCAAAGAGTGAATAGCACACAGTGAAAATGTATGTGTGTGGGTTGGGCGCTAGTGGCTTATACCTATGATCGTAGCTACTCAATATATGAGGATGTTGGTTTGAAGCCAGCCTGGGCAGTTAAGTCCATGAGACACTTATCTCCATTTAACCACTAAAAAGCCAAAAGTGGAGATTTGGCTCAAGAACTGCCAGCCTCAAGCAAAAAAAGTGAAGAAACATTGCCCAGGCCCTGAGTTCACACTGCCCATTCCCCTCCCCCCCCACCCCCCTTCCCCATCCCATGTGTGTGTGATTTTCATCTACTACCCCAAGGGGGAGGGTGAAAAGAGAAATCGATGAAGGTCAGAGAAGATGCCTGGGGCTGGACTCAGGAATCTGCTGGATTAAATGTCTCGGAATGAGTAAAGGTTCCTAAGTGGACAGTGGAATGATCTGGAAGTCTCTACTTGCTCCTACATCCTGAAGGTCCTACCATGGAGTTTTGTGGGGTTGTGATCATGGCCTCACAGAGAGTTCCCTGCAGAATACCAGGAACTGCCACTCTTATGAGCTGCGCTGTCAACAGCATCCGTCCTGCTGACCTCAGAGAAGGCGCAGCCCACCACAGAAGAGCTGGGTGCACACAGCATCCCCCTCCAGCTCCACCCCCGGGCCTCAGGGACATTGGAGACCATGACAGATCTGTGCTCACTGTCTTTGGAGATTCATGCTCTGGAGGTGTCTGGTATTCTGGAAAGAAGACGCAAATACTTGTTTCAGAGTGGGTGTTAAAGGAGGACTGTGCAGGCTTTAGTCTTTTTTCTCATGAGTAACAAATAAGAAAGAACCTGACATGAATGAAGAGGCTGCCATGTGCCCAGCGTGGTGGGTGGCCCTTTAATGTTTACCTGTCACCACTTTCTTGCCCGGCTGCTGCTGATGCCTTGTGTGACACTGGGGATCAGGGAGGATGAGTAATGTCCCCTGTTAGGCAATGAATGCAAAGAGAGACTTGAATCAGATCTCCAAGTCCCCCTTTCCCTTTTCTCAGGGAAAGACCAGCTCTCTTTCTGCCTTCAGCTCTGAAGAAGCCATGCTCCCACTGGACCTGTGTCCTAGAGTCTTCATTGACTGAATTAGAGGTGGGTGAGTTGTCCAGAACACCCATGGTTGGGGGCTCCTTCCTTCCTGCCTCGTTCCACACACATTCCAAGCCAGAGCCTCCAATCTCATTGACCCAGGATCTGAGCCTGTCAATTGCATGGCTCCCCATAAACGTGGGATGTAGGCTTGGTCCAGCAGCCTTCAGCATCAACCATCAGTGCTGGACAAGGATGGAGGAGGGAGCCAAACTAGAACCCAGGCTGTCTCTCAAAAACCAGGCCAAGTGACCAGAGTGCTCTGAGGAGCCAATCATGTGCTCTAGAGTCCAGCTACCTTTCCAGCAACCTGGGATTGGGAGAGCAGCCCTGAGGATCTAATCCTGGATAATAAGTTGCAGAAATTTAGAAATCAAGCCCTTCAGATATCCTCTGACTCAGTAGTTTTAAACTATGGATGAATATCAAAATCACTAGGCAAACCCATGGACACTGCTGGAGGAATGGAAAAAAATGGCTTAGCCAGTTTGGAAAACAGCCTGAAGGTTCTCTGAAACTTAAAAGTAGAATCACATAGTACCTAACACAATTTTGCTCCTAGAAATAAGTATTATTCAAGAGAACTAAGTGGACGTACATTCATATAAAAATCTGTACATGGATATGCATAGCAGAATTATTCATGATCAGCCAAAGGTAGAACCAATCGAAAAGTCCATCAACTGACAAATACATAAAATGTGGGATATCCATACCGTGAAAAATTATGTAGCTATGAAAAAGAGCTATCCATCCATGATATACCCTGCATGAACTCTGAGATCATGACTACTCCCTGGAAGAAGCCAGACACCAAAGTTCACGTGTTATATGATTCCTTGTACGTGAAATGTTTGAGACAGAATTGATTAGTGGTTATGAAGGACTGGAGAGGATGTGAGGAGATGAGTGAATGACTGACTGCTAATACTAGTACTAAGGCTCTTTGAGGAGGAATGAAAATGTTCCACAATCAGACTGTAGCCATGGTTGTGAAAATACTAGAAAACATCAAGTTGTGCAATTTAGTGAATTGTATGGCACAGGAAATAGATCAAAATAGAGCTGATTTTTTGGGGTCCGGTCGTGGGGCCTGAACTCTGGGTCTGGGCTCTGTCCCTCAGCTCTTCAGCTCAAGGCTAGCGCTCTACCAATTGAGCCACAGCGCCACTTCCGGCTTTTTTCTTTTTGTTTATGTGGTGCTGAGGAATCGAACCCAGGGCCTCAGGCATGCCAGGCAAGCGCTCTACCACTGAGCCACCTTCCCAGCCCAATAGAGCTGATTTTTAAAACCCTAGGGGAGATTTTGGGAAGTATCCATGCAGGCCCTACTCTGCACCAATAATATTGTCATTCATCTCTAAAGCCAACCTGTGGCCAGAGCTGAGAATGTCTGCCCTTCTCATCTTGCACATAGTCCCACTGTCGGAAGTGAGGTGAACAGGTCAC